TCACTAACACCTCTTCCAGCAGCAACCTAGTTTTCCCAGGAGGTCTCCCATCCAGGTACTGACCAGGCTCAGCCCTGCTTAGCTTCAGTGGGCAACCAGTCTTGGGCTACAGGGTGATATGGTTGCCGGCTATACATATTTTTTAAAAGTTGAACTTGCGTTAATTTTACATGGCTTTCTAAACATGCCGCTCTCTGCAAGATGCGAATGCAACGCTGATAGATGTCCCTCTAGAACATGTGATAAATATGCGTTCTGTGTGAACGGCTTGGTTTCAGTTTTGATGTAAACAACAACATCTCCACACTGATGCTCTCGTTTTCCGCAATATATGAATGAACAACGTAGCAGCGCCGCATCTAGTGGGTTCAACTGGATAGGCTAACAAAAGCATTCAAATGCAATCAATGACACATACATCGTCATCGCATCTCGTGCGCCACTGATAACGCTGCTTGACGGCTGACGCAGACCTTAAATGTTTTTTTTTTGTTTTTTAATTCGACGAATATTCGAAATTCGATTTTTTTTTTGACAGCTCTAATGTTAACTATTTTAATGCAAATAAAGCAGCAATTCCATCCACTGAGTTCAAGAGCACCAAAACCAAACCAAAATAAATAAAAAAAAAAATAAAATAAAAAAATTAATAAATGAAAATCACAGTTACCCGGGAAATTGATATAAAATGGAAGTTGAGGCCACTGTGTCTTTTATTAAAAAAATGATTTGCGCAGTATATACATACAGTGTGTTCACAATTTGCAAATTATGCTTTTAATGTGTTCAAACTTTAAAAGTGCATTAAAACTGAAATAATACAAAGTCCTTAAACATGGAAAGCAATAGAAATTTAGTCTCTAAGTCAAGTTTAATTATGTTTTTCCAAAAATATAAATGTTTCATCAGCTTTGAGAGGGCTGTGGGACACGAACAGGACAAAGCTAACTCAGAGAGCATAACATATATGGTTCTGATTGGAACTCTTACTACATGTAAAGAACCTTTAAAGAACTGTCGTTTTTTTTTAGAGTACAGAAGTAAATTACATTTGAAAATATATTACAAAAGAAAACAGTTGTTTTAAATAATATTAAAATAATTTCACAATACAGCTCTCTACAATGTGCATAATCAGTTGCAAATGCAACAATTTTCATGCTAGGTGACTAAATGTCTATCGTTAGTTATTGACTAATAAATTGTTAGATTTCACTTGCCAGTGTTTTGAGTTAAAAGCTAAGAATAAGTTCAGCATGGATATGTTAACTTGCCTATGCTTGAACACTGATTGAGTGTGTGAGAGTTTGACTCTCTATCATTGCAGCACACTGTTCTTATTGATATCAATGGATGTGCAGCGTATTTGACGCACTCTAGTGTGTAGCATCTGACTCACCGTGGCTGGGGTGGGAACACTCTGTTTCTCTCACACACACAAAGAGAGAGAGAGGGAGTCTTGCATGCCAGAATTTACATGCAACATGTAAATGGTATTCTTTGTTGTATTTTCCTGTCAAATGATTGAGTTTATTCAGAATTTTTCAGCCTTTAAGCACAAGCAGAAGCCACTGCCAGTTCCTTCGGTAGTGGGTGAAACTAATACGCAAACACCTATTACCATCCACGTTTGATTTCAGCAAATAAGCGAACGCAGACAGCGTGATTAATATTCATTATCCCAGCAACTCATCAGACCTGATCTAGTCTAAACAAAAAAAATTACTAGTCAGTGGTGATTCTATTACCATTTTGTGCATATAGGGTTGCAATATTACTTTTTACTGTGTTTTTCATCAAATAAATGCAGCTTTTTGAGCGTAAGAGACTAAACATATTTTTTAAAATGTCTTATGTGCACATCAAACTTAATGATAAAAATAAAATCCAACTCAGGCCAGTGTATGTGTTTTGTATTTGTATTTCTGTCAAACATATTAATTGCAACATCCCTATATTTGGATAAAAAATCTTTAGACAAGCCAACTTAATATCAGTTTTGTGGTGCATATAAGGTTTCATTTGTTAACATTAACTATATCCATTAGACGTGGCGGTGTCCTAGTCTCCCTCGAGCCGCCTGCAGTCTGTTTACTGACCATCTGATGAATATTGCACATAAAACTGGAAATTTTCACAAGGGTCCGTGAAGTTGCCCGACCGTAATGCAACTTCTGGGAATTGATGTGTACAGTTTTTTTTTTATCAGTCCACCTGGAAACAAAATCCAGTTTGAAAGGAATTAGGTGGACTGTTAGAAATTATCAGATTAATAACACATCAGTTATTTGTAAAAATTGCTGGGTTAGTGGCTTTTAATTTTTCAAATGCATTCAGAGTTTTGTTTTCAAGCACAAAGCAAGTACACTAGATACTCGTATACTTTTTCCATTGTTTATAGTGGTTTCTGTACAACCGCCCACTGAGATTGGCTAGCCAGCTCACTGCAAATGAACAACTGAGTCATTAAATGCTATAGAAATGTGCCCCGTGTCCCCTCTTCGCTAACAAGCTTATTAGATGCTAATCAGAAGTCAAAGTTGCGACGTTGTTCGTAATATTGAATTTAAACACACTTGGCCACTTGACCCTTACCAGCGTGGCTGTGATTCACCTTCTTATCGAATTATTTCACAGCTCTCGCTGTGCAGTTATGCCAAGTGATTTTTAAACATGCCAATTTGTTGTTCTCTTCAAAAGTGAGCACCATGCCGAACTGGAGAGGCCTGTTTACATACTGGCAGCTACCCACATGCTGTGACACCACGTGAACTTTCTGTGAAGTGGGCTCTGGGCTGACAATTTGAATTGACAAAACAAAGTTAGAATCAAATTAACATGCTGAAATTTCTTAGATTTAACTATTACAATAGTTGAAGAGAGAGTTCATCGTGCTGTGATTTATCATTCTATCACCAGTGTGGTGATGTTTAATTTTGTACGCTACCATTCAAAAGTTTGGGGTCAGTGAGATTTTTATGCATTAAACTGATCAATAATTTATAATGTTACAAAATATTTCTATTTTACATAAATGCAGTTCTTTTGAACTTTATCAAAGAATTCTGGTAAAAAAAAAAGATCACAGTTTCCACAAAATTGTTCAGATATTTTAAAAATAACAAAATTAGGGTACTAGAATGATTTTTGGAAGCATCATGTGACACTAAAGACTGGAGTAATGACTGCTGAAAATTCAGCTTTGCTATCACAGAAATAAGTTGCATTTGAAAATTTATTAAAATAGAAATGTTATTTTAAATTGTAATAATATTTCCCAATTTTCTTACTGTATTTTTGATCAAATAAATGCAAAAAGAGATTTTTTTTTCAAAGCGTTAATGTGTTACTAACCCCTTTTGAATTAGTACGGTTATTTTAATTGTGTGAAACAGAAGCCGAAAACCAGATTACACTTTCAAGTTTTGTCCTTTGTTAACTCTCTCTTTCTATCTTTGTCTTATACACCCACATAGCCATTATTGAACATGTGCGTGATGGCAGCATGCTACGGGCACTGCTTCTGCCCGACTACTATCTGGTGACAGTCATGCTGTCTGGAATCAAGGTGGGTTTCAGTCCTTCTCTATATAACGCTATGAATAAAAGAAACCCAATTTCTTTCAGCAGAACCCTCGAGATCAATATTTCTCAGGATTCCTCAGTTTCTTATTAGTTCTTGATGGGTAGCCTTGAGAGATTCCCTCTAGGTTTTCTTAGACCAGACCTGTTCCGTGAATTCAGTAGACCATCTTACTGCTTAATCTTGCTAATCATGAAAAAATGAACTTCATAACTGTGCTAAATTAAGTGTGGTTGAACTAGAGTTTTCGCTCAGTGGCTTTTCAGGAAAGGGTTTACATTCTTTGTAAAGAATGACTGTGATTTGTTTTCTGGGGTTTGTTTCTTAGTATTTCCCTGTAGATTTCAGACATTGTATATGTTCTGTAATGTTTATGAAAAATCTGTGTCTCCAGTGCCCTACGTTTAAACGGGAGGCAGATGGCAGCGAGACCCCCGAGCCCTTTGCAGCAGAGGCAAAGTTCTTCACAGAGTCAAGGCTTCTTCAGCGAGATGTGCAGATCATTTTGGAGTCTTGTCCCAACCAGGTCATTCTGGGGACCATCTTGCACCCGGTAAGAAGCCACATCAGACGTGTTTTCTGATTGATCTCTCTAATAACTGCAGTTGAACAGGAGTGTAAACCATTTCAGTGTTCCTCCTATTTCATATTTAAGCTAGATCAATTCAGCCTTGATCCAAAATCTTAAAGTGAGATGAATGTTCTCGGTTTGGAAAACCTTGCAAGCAATACTGGGAGAATTTATTTGTTTGGTTGTGTGTGTTTTTAAAAGTGACAAACAATACTGGGAGAATTTATTTGTTTGATTTTGTGTGTGTTTTTTTGTTTTGTTTTGCTTCTTGATTTTTGCTTTGTTTTTGTTTTGTTTTGGTTGCATTGAGTACCTGATAGCCTACAGTTTGTTTGTTGCTTTTTGTTTTCAAAGTGACAAACAATACTGGGATAATTTATTTGTTTGATATTGTTTGATATGTGTTTTTTTGTTACTGTTTTTTGCGTTGGTTTTCGTTTGGTTTTGCTTTTTGTTTTTTTGCTTTGTTTTGGTTGCATTGAGTATATGATAACCTACAGTTTGTCTGTTTTTTGTTTGTTTGTTTTGTTTGTTACATGATATAAATAAAGTGTCTCTATTAATGTTTAGTTTTCAGCCAGCATACATGGTTTTTAACGTTCCACACACACACCACAATGACTTTGACTGTCAAAACTAAGTACTTGAGGGACAGGAAGCATACCGGTTTTGATACCACATCAGAAGTAATACAATTTTTTTTAAGTGAACATTGTTCCCTTGAGCAATTATTCAAGACAAGTAAACAGTCAGTTAGAGCATTTAAGAACAAAGAAATGCTACCAGCTGTAGAACAAAATAAAAATAGATAAAAGATGTAAATGACGTAAACTGCTGAGATATTTAACAACAATATAAAGCATTCAAATAAACTTGACTGAAATACTGGTACTTTTGATATGCCTACTGTGTATAATGCAGTAAACACCGACCAAGGCTGTAATCAGTAATACAAGCTGTGGCAATGTGGGAGGATCTACAGGTCCAGACTTTAATATATTATGCACATGTTTATTGTACAGGCCCTTCAGTGCCAAGAATCATTGATACATTTAATTAATTCACTGTGAAACCGCAGGTATAAAGCCTTCTCATGTCATAGTTCTTGTTAATCAGATAATCCATGTCACACAATGTGTGAGGATGTTTTGCTCATGAACAATATAATACACAATAACCTTAGTGGTCTCTTTCTGTTGATAATGCCAGCAAAGCTTCTCACTGTCAGTCTGTATGTTTCCCCGTCATCTTTCTCAGTTTCTGATAATTTTCTTTGCTAACATGATATCCTTATGCGTTTGTGTGTGTGGTCATTACAGAACGGGAACATCACAGAGTTGCTGTTGAAGGAAGGCTTTGCACGTTGTGTGGACTGGTCTATGGCTGTGTACACCCAGGGTGCTGAGAAACTCAGAGCAGCAGAACGGTCAGTGCTTGTCAGTTGGCCAGTTGTCAGCCCTAGTTCACTATACATTTCAAATATGCCTGACATTTCAGCTGTTGGATCAGACTGAGCAGCTTGTTAAATGGTTTAGACTCTCGGGTTGCTCTTACTTCATGTTTCAGCAGAATAGTTTAGCAAATGTGGCAACTTATCACACAGCCGTTCAAGAACACCTGCCCTGATGCCCACCTGCTGGCTTACTGAAGCATTAGACACAATCACAATGAAATATGATAGGAGCACACAAGGTTGTGTCTTTAATCCAATTAAGTGCATATGCGACTGTCCTTTATGCAGTGCTTAATTTTGGTGAAATGCCTTATATCTCTCTCTCTCCAAAACCCTGCAGATCAGCGAAAGAGCGTAAAGTGAGAATCTGGAAGGACTATGTTGCTCCCACAGCCAATTTGGACCAGAAGGACAGACAGTTTGTAGCAAAGGTGAGTTTTCGGTTTCAATCCTTGCAGCCTTAATAGTGAAAAAACACAGAATCATGATACAAGGGTCAGTGACATGATGCTGACTTATCCAGCTTATTTGTCCAGATTTATTCATTCATTTTAAAATAAATTAAATCGAAATAATGAATGGCAAAGCAAATAAAAAAAAGCCTCATTAAAAGCCCTACTTTTTTATTTTTGATGATCTGTTACACTGGAATGTACGTCATAATACGGAAGAAATTATCTGTTACTACTTCTGTTTAATTACAACATTAAAATATAAATAATTAAAAATAAAACACATCAAAGTAATGTGGAGCAAGCAGAAACAAAAATTCTCATAAAGCAGGAAATTATATCCTAGAGAAGGATCCCTGTGGACCCTCATGACTCTGTCATCCTAAAATGTTAGATAATTTGACTTTTTTTTTTTTTTTTTTTGTAAAAGCAGAGTTAGTTCTGGTTCCTGTCCAATTTGATTATGGTATTAATGAGTGAATACATATTTAATTCAGTTATTATAAGAACACTTATTTAATTTAATAAAAATAAAAAAACTTTTTTAACTTTTATTATTTTGTAAGCTTTTTTTTGTTGAAATAATTAAATTATGTACATTCACATATATTCGAGTTTTAAGAAAAGAAAAGAAAAATTAAATTTTTCTTAATGGCTCCACCACATGACATTTTTGAGTCATGAAATTGAAAGGATTTATGTGTTTCAAAACCAAATGAAAGCAACATGAATACAAGGAAGAATAATGTAAGATCTTGGTACGTTTTAACCTACGTGTTATTTATTCTTTACGTGTTCTTGCTATTGACCCACAAAACGAGACGTCAGAAATCTGAATCGTCACACCACTAATTTCTTATATAGATGGTGTTGCAGTTCTGAACTCTTCAAAAGTGCTTCTGATGTTTCTCACTGAAGGTCACTGAAACCTGTTGATCTAAACTCAGCCCTCGAGCCCTCTAGCCAAACCCTTGATCTCTAGACATTAGGCTTTTTTCACTTAGAACGTCTAAAAATAACATAGGGAGAAGTCTCCAGAGTTTAGGTCGACGCTTCCAGACCAGCAAAGCGTGACATTTCACCAGCTGAGTCCCAACATGATAACAAATGACCGTTTCCACTCTGTCTACTCTTCAAACTCCTTTATAACAGAGGCTTCTGAAGAATATTTGAGCACCGCAGTCTCTTAAAGTGCTGATTGTGGTTGACGTACTCGTCTTTCGGACTGTATTGTGTCTGTCAGCGAGGCAGGTCTTTCAGGTCTCAGGTGTTTCATTTCATTTTGCATACTCTGTAAAGTCAGCCTTGGGCCACCTCAGCGGTTCTGTTCAGCTGCAGCCTTCAGCATTCCCCCCTGCTAAATTACCGCTGAATATCTGCTTTTGCGTCCCTGGCCAAGAATTCATGAGGAAAGAATAAGACAACGATACCTTCAATGGTTATTTGCTTTCCTCATATGTTAAAAAACAGTTGAGTCTGAAAGAGACGCAAGATTGAACATGAAAACGAAATTGACCTGCTTTTCTTTCTTAATGCGCTATCATTCAAGTTTGAGGTCTGTAAGATATATATTTTGATCAAAGACTTAGATCAAATATAAAGTAAAAACAGTAGGGCTGTGCGTTATTGAAGAAAAATGCGATATGCGATAACTCCTTAAATAATGCGATATTCGATATGCGATACGATAATGCTTAAAGTGCCACATGCTCAGATGAAACAGTTTTACTCAGCTGTTGCTGAGTCAGTTCTGTGAACTTCTATAACTATCTTGTGTCATATATATATGGTTATTTGTATGTATGTATGTATGTACCAAGAGTTCCTGTAAAACCACAACAAATTCCTTGTGTTTGCGCACACTTAAGTGGTGAATAAAGCTCAATCTGATTCTAATAAGAAAGCACCCCTACAACAACTTCTGAAAGTGAACGTTATGTGTTTTACTCGAGCATTACATAAAAATGTCATTTTAACATTAGTGTAATCATTTTAACATGAGTTTAGGAACTGAATAATAAAAAGCAAAAATAAAACACTGCTTAGTATTTACTCTTTGAATTCAATATGCACTGATTCTTATTTAAGCTACAAAAGTTATTTAGGTAAGAGCAGTGAGTGATTTTCTCTTTGTCTTTTGTTCATGGCCCCAAATATTGCAAGCTGTAGCGATGTGCATATTGCGATATGTACATTTGCGATATTTCGATAATTTAAATATATTGCACAGCCCTATTGCATAATATTATTACACTTTAAATAGGTACTTTATATTTAATAAAATAAAATAAACATATGACGACAAAGATGAGTTTTTATCAGCTATTACTCTAGTCCTTTAGAAATCATTCTAATATACTGATTTAGAGGTCAGTAAACATTTGTTACATTTATCAGTACTGCAAATAGTTATGCTGCTTAATATTTGTGGAAACTGTGACTATTTCATGATTCTTTGATGAATAGAAATGTCAAAAGAACAGCATTTATTTGAATTGTTTCAGATTTTTTTTTTAATTAATACCTTTACTGTTGCTTTTTGATCGATTTAATGCATCCTAGCTGAATAAAAGTGTTAATTTAAAAAGAAAACTTCTTACTGAAAAGACTTAAATTCTTGCTGATACCAAGCATTTGAATGGTAGTGTTTCTGATTAATGTGCACACAAATATTTACATGTTATGTAATAGAAAAAAACAACAACTTTTACTCTGCAAAATTGAAGAATTTACTCTGCTTCTGAAATGACTTTGCTTTTCAAGTGACAACTATTTCATGCAGGTGGCAACAAATAATGGTAAGCTATGCAAGCATTATTTTAGATAACAGAAAAATCTTTTCTAAAATATTGCTAACCATGGATACATTTTTTTATGTGTTTCAGTTAGAAATACATTACATTATGGTCTATGAATACTATTTCACGTTGACTTTAAGATTTAAGAAGATGTTGGGTTACTTCTTGCAGTGGCTGTGCTGATATTACCACATCAGTCAGGTTTGTTAACTTTGTTTAAACTGCTGCCGCCTGGTCTTAATTGATATGTTGACAGTGTGTGCTCTCTCCTAAGTCAGCAACTGTGCTTTTGCAGAAAGTTTCTTCATTCTCCTTAAAGTGAGGTTGTTTCACTGAACTTCAAGACCTTTGAAATATTCATGCTTGGCCTTTGGTTATGTAAAGGTGTTGCACTGCAATCTGCTTACAGAATTAGTTTCAAAATCCACAGACACAAAAGTGTGTTTTTGCCTGAGTCAGAAAATACCAGAAGTGAAGAATAAAACATTTATATGAGCTTTAGCTTGCCTCAGATCTCTGAGCCGGGAGAGAAAGAAGATATACTTTGAAATTGTGCGCGTGTGTGTGTTTAAGTGAGTGTGTGTGTGAGAGAGAGACTCAACAGAAAAAGCTACTGACAAAGGCAGAATGGCAAGTGTTTGTAAGCTGTTTCTGTGTCCTGGCATACAGGACACATCTAGCTGTTTTAATTGGTTTGCATTTCCTGTCATTCAAATGTATTCAGAAAGAGTTTGCCATTAATAATAATAATAATAATGGTAGTAATAATAATAATAATAATAATAACATTTTAAATTATATTTCAACTGGCTGCTTTGTGTGTGCAAAGTGAATCAATTTTAATTAATTTAAAGATTATTCAAGTTTATTTAATTTAAAGATGATTTGGAAACTATAAACTTGATCTGTAAGTAGATCTATTTACAAAAATTACAATTTTACATAAAGATTTAGAGTTCCAATGTACATAGCATGGTATATAAACTACCGTTCAAAAGTTTTTTTTCCTCAGGATGATGTTTTTTTTTTTTAAGTAATACTTTTATTTAGCAAGGATGCAATAAATTGATCAAAAGTATGAGAAAAGACATGTATAATGTTGCAGAAGATTTGTAGTTCAAACAAATTCTGTTCTTTTGAACTTTCTATATATCAAAGAATCCTGATAAGAATGTATCACTGTTTCCAAGAATTATACTGAGCAGCATAACTGTTTAGAATATTAGAATGATTTCTGAAGAATCATATGACACAAAATCATGTGAAGAAATGGCTGCTGAAAATTCAGCTTTGCTATCAAAGGAAAAAATTGCATTTAAAATATTTTAAAGAAAACTGTCATTTTAAATGTAGTAACATTTCACAATATTACTTTTTTCTTTCTGGCTTGATGAGCATGAGACATTTCTTTCAAAGACATAATCTTACTGGCCCCAAATGTTTGAATGGTAGTGTAAATATGGAAATCATTCGGTACTATGTATCAGAAGTTTCATACTATTTATTTCCATGGTAGTACCAATTTTTTAATGTTTTAGGAAAAGCCACAGAACAGAAAGGCACTGAAGATATCAAGATGTGCATTTTAAAAAATGGTACCAAATATTTGAATGTTTTCTGATTTCTTAGTGTCCTTTTGATGTAGTTCTAGTCACGGTCTGTAGGTGGCAGTGGCTACCTGTCATGTTCAATGGGCTGCAGTACGAGAGTGAGTCATGGATCTGGGCTGTAGATCCCTGTTGGCAGCTTGCGGTGAAGTGCCTTGCATTTGTGACTGCTAATGAAACAAGAAAATGTTCTCCTTACTGGTCCCAGTTCTGCTCCGCTAATACCACACAGAAAAATAAAACCACCGATTTGCTCAGGTGACCTTGTTGATTTGGGACTGAGTGCATTTAGGAGCACAAGTGCCCACACCTACATAAACCATGACGTTCTCTGCTGTATCACTGCCGAACATTCAGCCGAATGTTTTTGCAAGTGATCTGTTTAATTTCCACTCTGAAGATTTAGTTCAAAGCCAGACGATTTGTCAGTCTATGATGTAATTCTGCTCATATCATCCTTCTTTCCTGCTCATGTCCCTCTGAAGACTGTAATTTTGTCTTCATTTGCTCAGATCTGATAATGCATGTATTTTTGAGGCTTTCCTCTGCCTGTTCAGGTCTGATTATATCAGATCCATTACCCAGACCCGCACAAACGCCAGCCATCTTCCACATCACTGGCTCCTCTATTAAATAACTTGGAGTTGATGATCATATAAGATGACATGGATATGATGTACTCAGACATGGTTCTAAACGTCAGAGCTTTTGTGACATTTGTCTTCTTGTGCGGATGGTCCCTGTATGCAACGGATGCGGCCCGCACATGTAACGCATGGTCTGGCGAGTCCTCTCAGATCTAATGTAACATGTTTCTGTCACAAAACCTGCATGTCAGAGGTGGCACATGCCAGGAGTCTTAACCTCAGGAGTCTCTTCACATTGCTTGTCTTTTCTTTCTGTACTTTTCTAAGTGATCAGACAATGAAAAATCCCATAGATAGATCCCATAGATGCAAGCTATCATCAAGAATAAATATATATTATGATTCTATAATCCTGAAAACATTTCTTTATTTAGTTAGTTAGCTAGTTAGTTGTGCATTTGGCCAAAATTGTAATTTTTATCAATATGGCTTGTAACTAGTAACTACATAGAGATGCTCAAGGCTGAATTGCAAAGCCTTTGCAACCACTCACAACACCCCAAAATCATGGAGGCAACTTTTGTACGGACAAGCAGTTGTCCCCCCCCCCCCCTTTTAAAAAATAAAAAGTGTCCCCCCCCCCCCCCTTTTACAAAATGTAAAACAAATGGACTCTATTGAAGTCTACTTTATTGAAGGGGCCATGTCCATGTAGGCTATTTATTTAATGTCTTTTTTTAGTAGATCTGTTTCTAAACAAATGCTTTGGCACACCTCTAAGTGCTCAATTTAATCCTCTTCCTGTTCCTTTTCGTCTAAACAAAATGATGGACTGTTCCCACCCTCTCTTTCTCTCAGTTCCTTTGTGTTCCCCGTCGGCTCGCTTTCATTGTCTTATATGAGTGAAATGGTGAGGTAATGGTGGTAGGATGAGAGAATCAGAGAGTGGAGGGTTGTTCTTTTGAGAACAGAGTGTGGGAGAAGTGTTTTGTTTGCAGCTGTTTGCTTTTGTACCGCAGAAGGCTCGTGGCGGGGTACAGTAACGTTTCTCTGGCAACAAGTTGAGTCTCTCTCGTCCTCCTGGTAGAGCGGTGACTTGGTCGCCACCTCTCGTTCTCTTTCTAACACCTACTCGCGCACTCTTTCGACATCACTCATGAATATTGGGGTGACTGACAAATATTCAATGAAAAAACAGGCTGAAATCGTCATAGTCTTTATAAAAATGAGTTAAAATGGGAACATTGATCACTGCAGGCAGTTTGAGAGTGAAGAATTCTTACAATTTGGTAAGTGTTACAAACACAGTGCTTTGATTCCTATATATGTGGGCTGAATTTAAAATGCAACCATCCTAAAGTCTTTTTTCAGTATTGACTTTCAAACGGTTACTGTTAAGGCTGACACAAGCTAATTGTCGGGCCATCGTTAAGTGTCTGTCAACCCAGTTTTTGCGGTGTTTTGTACCGATGAATTAGAATATAGATGTAACGTAGTTCGTAGTCACGGGAAGGAGGAGGCGGGAACCGGCGAACATTTAAACCAAACTTTAATCAAATATATCCTTCCGGAGCTCCATTAGCACATTAGCATTTACTCCACCGGCCTCGCTCCGTTCCCACGGCTCTTGGGCCTGCCCCTCTCGTCACATACCCCCATCCCCCCTCGCAGGACTGACAACTCACGAGACTGCGCTCTACTCCCCCAACCCCTCTGGGGGAGCCGATCACGGCGGCCGCGGCATACCTGGGGGTAAGGACAGACAGACGAGGCGAGAGAAAAGGAGACGGAAGGATGAGGAGAGACAGATACGAGAGAGGGGAGAGAGGAAAAGAGAAAAAAAAAATGATCGGTCCGGTTCCCGGACCCACTGCCGCTTGGTCCTCAACCGGCTGAGAGGCTCTCACTCGCGGTGCCATACGATGGTACTGGACATCGTTGGTGGACGTCCCACTGCTCCTCCGCCTCCTGGCGGACGGCGATGGCTCCTCCTATTGAGGACAGCCGGCAGCGAGTCCCCCGTTCCCTGCTCCTCCCCAATCATGGCGGATGGCAGCAGGCTCCGGCCTCCTGGCGAACGGGGCCGACCCCTCCGCTCCCTCATGGACGGCAGCCACCCCTCCTCGACCCCTGTCGTCACTCCTCCCTTTTATCCTTCCGGAGCTCCTCCGTGAGACTCGAGACCGGTGAGTGGTGCAGGTGTCGCATTATCAATCACTCCACCGGCCTCGCTCCGTTCCCACGGCTCTCGGCCCCACCCCCACTCGTCACAATAGACTACTGCCACCTGCTGGCATGGAGAGTTATTTCCTCTCATGCAGGTTCAGAATGTATGTTGTTGTCCACTGGCTGTAAACTTTGCAGTCTGTTCAAATGCAGTGTTTTGGCCAAGACACAGACGATGTGAGGTGATACCGAATAACGAAAAAATGAAAATCATGTAACTGATAACCTCTTGTGGTTCCAAACGTGCATGGCGTTATTTTCTTGTGGAACAATCTTCTTTTTTGTCCTTAAAGGTGACATATCATGAAAATCTGACTTTTTCCATGTTTAAGTGCTATAATCGGGCCCCCGGTGCATCTACCAACCCAGAAAACATGAAAAAGAACAACCCAGTAAACATTTTTTGGTAAGCCTTTCTCTGCAAGCTTGTGAAAAAATGAGCCGCTCAGATATCGCTCCCCACATGACATAGAAAGGGGAACGTATTATAATGTTACCGCCCCTTAATCTGCAAGATTCCACCCATGGTGTTACCATTGTGTTTTTGCAAGCGACAACATTACCAGTTTTAACGCTATGGTGAAAGTTCGAGCAAAGCATGCTAACTGTTCTTTATTTGGCTGCACTGACGAGCACAAAACACTATTTAGAGTCCCAGCCTTAGAGGAGACAAGAGAGCAGTGGATTTATTGATTTATTTACTATATATTACGCTGTTCCCTCACAGATCTAATATAAACATGTGATTTCTTTCCCAGCTGTTTACCTTCACAGACGTAACCAACTCTTTTTGTAACTCGTGTTTGTTTTTAACAAACTTGTGTGTATTTGACAGTTTAAGTGCAATAAGATATGAAAGAGAACTTAGTTTAGTACTCACATGCTGTGTGACATCCACTTTCTGTGTGCGTGCTTCGAATGTGTGCGCTCAGAAAACGATATAAGAAGTTTAAATTAATATGGTTTAAAACGCATGATTTCAGCACGATAGACATGATAATCAAAACCAAACAGATGTTTTTAAGCCGAGTATCTGAGGTAAAATCTGTTAAGGCACAGCCCTATTCTGGAAAAGGGGGTGGGGAGCAGCAGCTCATTTGCATTTAAAGAGACATGCATGAATACAGTGTGTTTCTGCTTCCACTCAAAATAGGCTTTTTCAAAATGGTATAATAAATGATCTGTGGAGTATTTTGAGCTGATATATCTCAAAATATGGCCTTGCTGATATATCGGTCGACCACTAATGTCAAACCTGCTGCAAGTACGTTATTCCAGAATTCATTGCTAACTAGTTGACCTTTCTGTCTTTCTCTTTTTCTGTATTACTGAATTTTCTTTTTGCCCTCTTCTGTACAGGTGATGCAAGTCATGAATGCAGATGCCATCGTGGTGAAGCTGAACTCTGGGGAGTATAAGACCATCCACCTGTCCAGCATCAGGCCCCCGAGACTTGAAGGCGAGGTACGAGTTAATGCATGTCTGTCCTTGGATATCCCTGTCACTAAGGCCATTACTGAATCCACAGGGTGCCGGCTGTCTGTTACACTGTTTGCAAAGTGCTGATGTGAAGGTTTTCTCTCCCCTCCATCTCTTAAAAGCGCCGATCTCCTGCCTTCATGCATCTTTCACGCTCGGATCTCAGAGCGGTGTGTTTAGTGGACACCAGGGGGAGCTAGAGACAGAAGCCCACTGGCCCCCCTCCCCTCCACTCTCTCTGTCACACCAGTGCTGCACTGCAGCCAAAAGCCCTATAGATCTACTCCCATAATGAGCACACGCTCTCGCCGAATCTCTCATCCTCATCTATTAATGTCATACGCGTCCACTCATTCCAATGCAATTTTCAAATGCTCACTTTTGATTTGCTAGATGTTAACAAATTAATATGGAAGCATCATTTTGCTGGGCTGCGTATGCACACACACGTTTTTGCAGTTTACAAACACTCAGAAATGTGCTTGTCCGTTCTTATTCACGCCCATTAAGGCTGTTAATGAGAGATGATGTTTAATGGGTACTTTGTCTAGCTAAGTGTGTGTGTATCTAAAAGCTGTATGTTAAACTAAAAGCAGTTAAAATTGGAGTGTGAATATCTCGCTGCAATTAGCCACCCTCTTCCTGACCCCTGACCTCCTGTAATAAGACACGATGATTCAGCATGTTGGAAAAAAATTAGCTTCAGTGTTGATTTAGCAAATTAGACATTTAGTTTATTAAGGAGGGCTTTAAATAACAGAACACTGCAGTTGCATGCACATTTTTGCTGGAAAATAGTTTTGTGTTCTTGTACTTTTGATAGATACAGCAATATGTTCCAAATCTTTAATGAAGTTTGTGATTATTTTTAAAGGAGGCTTTTCAGAGAGTCGCAATTTGTCATGCACATGTAAACAGAGCTAGAATGAGGAGCTGTGGGTCTGTATCTATGGATACCGGGCTGCGGCGAGCATTCGGTTCACAGAATGTTTGTATCCTGGCAGCTTAAAGATGGCTTTAATCAGATCAGAGATGATTACAAAACAATAAAGATTACGGATGTATTTAGATCTCAGACGTGCTTTGGAGGCATGAGACAAACCGAAGAGCTTTTAAAAAATGGGTTTCTTTTTGTTTTGTTTTTTTAGTATTTTGACTAGTTGATTTTTCTTGAAAGATAAACCCGAAAGCTGGATTTTGACAAAGAGACAGGAAACTGATCTTTTGTGTTCTTAGAATCTTTTTTTTGGCAAGCATTTTAATGAGATGATGTTAGTGCCGTTTCTTTGTTCAATTTTCAGCATTCCAGGCAAGTTTTATTACTATTACTGTTTTACTTAAAGGTGTAGTTCACCCATAAATGAAAATTGCCACTTACTCACCTTCCTATTGTTACAAACCTTTATGACTTGTAAAAGATATTCTGAGAAATGTCTGTTTTGCCAATACAGCCAAAAACTGTTCAGTTTCCAACATTCTTCAAAATATAATCCTTTTAATTATATAATTAATTTTTCGGGTTTGGAATGACATGAGGGTGAGTAAATTGACAGCATTTTCATTTCTGGATGAATCTCATTAAGGCTACCTCTAACCAACAACTTAATAATGACTTTGCAACCACCCACAACACTCTTGCATTGTGGTGAGTTCGGCATAGGCAAAGCACCTCTTATATTTTCTTCAGAAACCTGTAAATCCCATTTTATTACAGTCTTTTTGTGCTGCAGAAGGTAGATCAGATGGCGGGGAGCTTGTGTATCAAGCAGTGTGATGTAATTATCATAATACCATGGTGACCATCCGGCAGTGTTTGGTTGCATGCATGTGTCTAACACCTATGGCAGCTGCCTCGCTCCACAGTCAATCGGTGACTTAACTACAGATTCTTAATAAAACTAGTTTCAGACCAGCTTTCACAATGCAATAACATCATATCTAAAGATCTAAAACTGATTAATGTGAGCTTTAGAGATATTTAAGTACATAGTGAATATAATGTTATTTTTCTCTGTATAAATGAAATATTATATATTTTTTCCCTTTTTAATGGGCATAAATTCACTCTTTTTTTTAAGTGCTGCCTCAGATGCTGTTTTACTATAGGCTGCCGAGGATACATTTATGCTGCCTTTAAAAACCAACCAGATAAAGGCATCTTAGTAGAAAGGATTCGAATGTTGCCTTCTGCCTTTTATGTGGTATTGATGTGCTGGAGGTACTTCCTCTTTTGAAACCTGCACTCCTGTTCAGTTTACTGACTGTATCTTCTGTAGTGCATCTCTGCACCAAATGTTCTTGCAGTATGTTTCCCCTGCTCGGCTGCGCTCTTTGACGAGGGTGAAAGAGAGAGAGGAGTGTGCAAAGTTGTGCCTATATTAATGCATTACAGCCATTGAGGTCAGTCTGCCCTTTAATGTGAGGTTTCATCAATAATGATGCTGTCATGGCAAATCTGACCTCTGACTCTGTGCTTCTATGGTCTGGATAAAAGTCAGCTGAGTACCAAACAATTAAACATTATTAATAGTGTCTGTTCCATCTCCTTGGTTCTAAGGGACCTGATGGAGATCAGGTTATGATTCTTTTTAAATTCTAGAAAACAGTGAAGGTAGTTTGAGGAATCCTAAGAGTTGAAATGAAGAAAAGTTGAAGTCTGTAATGCTCATGTTGTGTTTTATTCACTCCATTAAACGCAATGACCCTTTGCAAATGTGTCAATAGTCATTCAAGAGCTGTTCCTTCGCAATCGAAAAGGGGAGGCCTATATTTTTCTTAATCTAATGCTACATTAACCTTGACACGATGCTACATAACTAACAAGACCTGTTAATCTTTTCATCAAGCTAATCAATTCTGGCTAGCGTTTCTGCAGTAGTTCAGCACACAGCAACTTTTAAATTAGTATCGCAATTAATTTAAACTGCATTTATTCAACAACAGCTGTACAATGGTTTCGGAACAGCTGCAAACATTTTTTCAGTCACTCTTTTGATTGCGTTTTATCAAAATGGTTTTCTGTAATGGCTTTCTGTTTGTGCACATGCACATTGTGAGTACTCTGATTCATGCACACATACAGAGACAAAATTAAGAGTTTAAAGGTTCACAATATGACAGTATGCAGTTAAGTGGTGATGTAACATTAAACGCACCCTTGAGGTCACATTAGCGAAATTGCATAGGCAATAAATGTGACCACACCTGTACACTCTTAAAAATAAAGGTGCTTCAAAAGGTTCTTCAAGCGATGCCATAGAAGAACCATTTTTGGTTCCACAAAGAACCATTCAGTCAAAGGTTCTTTAAAGAACCATCTCTTTCTTGCGTTTTTGTAATCTGAAGAACCTTATTTCGCCACAAAGAACCTTTTGGGAAACAGAAAGGTTCTTCAGATGTTAAAGGTTCTTTATGGAACCATTTAGACAAAAAGGTTCTTCTATGGCATCGTGAAGCACCTTTATTTTTAAGAGTGTAGTTCGAACTTTGTACTCAGCGTTGTAGATTTTTCCATCATAATGTTACCCACTTTTATGCTAATTTTCTGTGTACCTTTGTCTCTACGTCATGTCCTAACCAAATGTTATGAAGCAGAAAAATGTGAATCCATTTTTTTTTTTTTTTTTTTTTTTAAACAAGGGACGAAATGCTGGCACTCTGTGAACTATAAACAAAAACAAAGTAAAGTATTGCTGTTTGGTTTCAAAGTTGCCCCGGCTCTTATACATTCTCATCCATCAAATGCTCCATCAATGCCTCCTCTAGTGTGCAGGCACCTAATGGTCAATCAGAATATATTTGATGTGTAATATACAGTATACATGAGGCCACCCAGCCAATGCGACATAAATAGAAACTAAACGACTGACAAAATGTCCTGTTGCTTGCCGCTTGTTTAGGACAAAAACTCGCATTAACATGAAAGAGCTTCTATTGCTTGTTGCTTTATCACATCATGTCTGGTGTCACGGTGTGACAGTTCTACCTTCTTTCCAGCCATCTGTTGCTCACGCTCGTTCTCGTCCTGATTTTTAAACACTCTCTCTTCAGTTCATAGCAGGGCGTGAAACTGTTGTCCCCACGCCACGCCGTACAAACACTTCAACTCAAAGAGACAAACCTGACCTCAGGCCAGCTGGAGGATCTGTGTGTGTGTTTGTCTGTGTACCGTTTAGTCGACTAGTCGACTAGACCCGCACATCCCTAGCTGGGACCCCTGTTTTTTCTTTCCTGTGGCTACTTAATTTCTTTATTATTATTGACGGCATGGCAGGGTCGTATAGTCTTGGCTTAAGGGACCTTTTTTTGCTAAACAAAATGGGATAATTACCATGGGTAAAAACCGTGGGTGGCAGAGCACGATACAAGATATTAACCAATCAAAACAGTCAGTTGAGATTCAGCAACCTCTCTGATTGGTTGATCTAGATTTGAACTTATGACCGATAAATGACTGATTTGCACTGATACTAGGTATCCAGAATGGTTAGATAGTTGAGTTTTCGAAATCAGTCAATAATCTCGAAAAATGCAAGCATTGAAAGGAGGGATGGCACTCACCGGTTTTGTTCTTAACATATTCCATGTGCTATTTTCCATGTAATTTGAAGTTATACTATAGAGCTGTAGAAAGTACAGACACAATTTAAGTAATTTTTTGCCTTTGTTTGCATTCAGATTTAAAAAATATGGCATTTGTTTACTATATTGAACCAGTGGTGTTTCGACATTGTTATCACACCTTTTTTGACTGGGTGAGCTATCCCTTTGAGAGAAACGTGACTTCATGTGCCATGCCTAATTTCTTTTCCTCATTCATTTCCCCCCTCTCACTCCCTTGGCCAGATGGAGGCTTATTTTTGCACCATGGCGAGCTATTTCCAGCTGCGTGGTGGTGTCAGCCGTTTTAGGAGCACTCACAAGGAAGTGGAGGGGGAGGAGTTATGTCAGCAGCTCAATGAGTCATCCTCACTCCCACTGTATGT